AAGTCTAGAAATTGCACCCTGTGCGGTAAGAAACACCACACGCTTCTCCATAGAGATTCTGTAACAAATACTTTCTCCAAAAATCTGAATTATAGTGCGAGATCATATTCTGCTTCCCAAAATAGTACGGAAGCCGTTCCTAAAAATGTACAAAACTCAAATTCCTTTCAAAGCTGGCGTGCACAGCCTCGTCAATCTCCAATTCCAAATACTGAAAATATAGTAGCCTTCCGAAATTCCGAGCCTGAAGCTCAAGGTAATTTTTCTTCACCTTCGATGCCCTCATCTCTTCTTATAGGTAAGGGGGATCCTGAAGTCTTATTGGCCACAGCTGTGGTAGATGTCTTGTCCGATGATGGTAATCGTGTCAAGGCTAGGATAATACTAGACAATGGCAGCCAGTGTTCTTTCGCTTCCGAAAAATTTGTAAAAAGGTTAAATGTCAAGACTTATGATAACCAACTCCAATTTTCCGGCATTAAATGCACTCCTACAATTTCTAATAAAATGCTAGATATTGTAATTGCTTCCAATACTTATGAGGATTTTAGACTTAACGTTTCCTGTGCGGTACTTCCAGTAATCACTTCTAGGTTACCAAGAATTAGTTTGAATAAGAATAGCTTGAATATTCCGACAGTATTCAAATTGGCTGATCCTTATTTCCATGTTCCGTCCGATGTGGACATACTTCTGGGCGCTGATGTTTATTATGAAATTTTGCTTCCACAAATCCAGAGATTGGGTCCGAAACTTCCTACTCTCCAGTTGACAAAGTTTGGTTGGGTAATCGGAGGACAATTACCTCCGCAAAATCTTTCAAAAGAGAATAGAGTCTCGCTCCTTTGTCAAAATACGTCCGAGCCTGCGGACTCATTGGATGAAATTCTTTCGAAATTCTGGAAAATCGAAGACCTTCCAGAATTCAAATTATTATCGCCGGACGAAGAATATGCTGAACAAAGCTTCGTTCAAACACATGTGCGATGTAACGATGGCACTTTCCAAGTCGACTTTCCCTTTAAGTGTACTGTCGAAAAGACCCCACTCGGTGACTCTTTCCATGTTGCAAGAAGGCGATTTTTGAATTTGGAAAAACGTTTCCAAAATAATCCAAAATTATTTTCCACTTACAAAGATTTTATTGATGAATATGTGCTATTAAAACATGCCAAATATGTTCCATTCGATCCTAACAATAAGTCTGCTGAAATAAAATATTTCCTTCCTCACCATTGTGTAATAAAAGATTCAAGTGAGACCACGAAATTAAGAGTGGTTTTCGATGCTTCTAGCAAAAGTTCCACAGGTGTTTCCTTAAACGACATTCTTCATAAAGGTTATCAGGTACAACCAGATTTGTACGATATTCTATGCCGTTTCCGTCAACATCCCTTTGTCCTGACCTGTGACATAGAGAAAATGTACCGTCAGGTCAAAATGAATCCTTCACAACTTCACTTCCAAAACATATTGTGGAGAAACTCCCCACAAGAAGACCTCAAATGTATACAACTTTCCACAGTTACTTATGGAGTTACCTCCTCTTCCTTTTTGGCGACCAGAGTTCTAAAGGAGCTCGCTTCCAATTCCAGTGAATTTCCTTTAGCCCAAAGGGCACTTTTGGAACAGACCTATGTCGACGATATACTCCACGGTACAAATTCACTTTCCGAGTTAGAAGATTCCTATCATCAGCTCAAGAGTTTACTAAACTCTGCTGGGTTTAGGTTGCACAAGTGGTCATCAAATTCTTCACAATTTAGACAAAAATACTGTGGGTCTGGTGATCCTGTCCAATATGAAATAAAATTGGAAGATGCTCCTAATAAAGTATTAGGATTGTCTTGGAATCCTTCGTCCGACAATTTTGCCATTTCTTTGCCTCAAATTTCCCAAGATGATGTTCTTTCCAAACGCAAGGTACTCTCGATTGTCGCCCAAATGTTCGATCCTTTAGGTATACTTGGTCCTTTCATAGTTATGGGAAAAATTTTCCTACAACGGCTCTGGTTAGCCAAAATATCGTGGGACGAGCCGCTTCCTACCGAATATTCCCAAGAGTGGAAAATATTCATTAATTCCATTGAATCTCTAAAAATTTTAAAAATTCCTAGGTGCTTATTTTCAACTAAGTTCATTGTAAATATTCAAATGCACGGTTTCGCTGACAGCAGCGAACGTGCCTACGGTTCTTGCTTATACGTAAGAGCCATGTACTCCGATAATACTGTCTCTTCTGTGTTGCTTACTTCCAAATCCCGGGTCGCACCCCTCAAAACAATTTCACTTCCAAGGCTTGAGTTGTGTGCAATGGTATTACTTGCCAAACTCACCCAAAAAATACTTAAAATTTTTGATGGAACTCTCGATTTCGAATCCATAAATCTGTGGACTGATTCTCAAATAGCCTTGTATTGGATTCAGTCCCATCCATCCCGTTGGCATACATTTGTGGCTAACCGTGTTTCCCAAATTCAGACCTCGTTACCACAAGCCCAATGGAGACACGTTCGTTCTTCTGGAAATCCAGCAGACTTGATTTCCAGAGGAGTATTGGCTCCCGATCTACTAAATTGTAATTTGTGGTGGCATGGTCCAGATTTCCTATCCAAAGTGAATTTGGATTTGTCCAAATTTCTACTCAAGTCTCCACCGACTATTGTGCCCGAACAAAGGGAGCCCAAAATGCAGGTTCTAATTGTGGGTACAGATTCAAAAAATATATTTTGGAGCCAACTGTTTGAAAGATTTTCGTCATTCAATAAGTTGTTGCACACCGTCGCATATCTCTCTCGATTTGCGTCTAATACCAAAAACAAGGATACCAAAATGTCTGGTCCCTTGTCTGTATATGAAATAAATTCCGCCTTAGTGCTGGTCCTTCGTAATTTACAGTCTCAATACTTTTCCAAAGAAATTTCTCGGTTGAAATCTCTTAAACCTATATCCGACAAAGGCATACTGGCCCTTAATCCATTTTCTAAATGAGCAAGGACTCATTTGTGTAGGAGGGCGGTTGCGCCACGCAGATATCCCGGAACTCCAAAAACATCCTGTCCTACTTCCTGCTAGAAGTCACGTTGTTTCCATTCTGCTCGAACGAGAGCATGTACGATTGGGTCATGCTGGCGCCCAAACCGTCCTTGCCAATGTACGTTTGAAATATTGGCCCTTGAACGGGATTAGGGAAATAAAAAGGGTCATTCATAAGTGCATGACTTGTTTTCGCTTTCGAGCCATAGGTGCTCAAAAGATTATGTCCGACTTGCCTCCTGACAGAGTCACCCCTTCTAGACCCTTTGAGAGAGTGGGGGTTGACTACGGTGGCCCTTTCCTTATAAAGTCCTCACGTCTTCGAAAAGCTCCAAGTATTAAGTGTTACCTGGCCGTTTTCGTCTGTATGGCCACTAAGGCCGTTCACTTGGAGCTAGTATCCTCTCTATCCACTGACGCATTTTTGTTGACTTTTAAGCGTTTCATATCCCGAAGGGGCATTCCCACAATAGTTTACAGCGACAACGCCACTAATTATGCTGGCGCAAAAAATTACCTCCGGGAGTTATCCGAGTTTTTCGCTAAGTCAAATGTGTCTGAGCAACTAAAGATGTTTGCTTCCGAAAACAGCATTGACTGGAAATTTATCCCACCTCGCAGTCCTCACTGGGGAGGCCTGTGGGAAGCAGCGGTAAAGGGAGCAAAAAGGCACCTCTATCGGATTGTGGGTAACGCTCACCTCACATTTGAGGAATTGAGTACAATCTTGGCTCAAATTGAGGCCATCCTTAATTCAAGACCACTATGTCCTGTATCTAGTGACCCCTCTGACTTGGAAGTATTGACTCCAGGTCATTTTCTGATTGGCCGCAATTTAACCTCTTATCCTGAACCTGACATTACAGATCTGCCCGAAAATAGACTTACATTCTGGCAGAGATGTTCCCGTTTACAACAGTCCTTCTGGAAGAGATGGACCACTGAATATTTGAATCGCCTGCAAAACCGGCCCAAGTGGTTGACCCCTTCTAAAAATATACAAATAAATGATTTGGTATTGCTAAAGGAAGACAACGTTCCCCCACTTAAGTGGTGTTTGGGCCGAATTGTAGAAATCATACCAAGCTCTGACCGAAGAGTTCGTGCAGTTAAACTTCGTACCAAAGAAGGTATATTCATGAGACCCATTGTGAAGGTTTGTCCATTAACTACTGCTTAGCCATAGCTCTGACGAGTACCACTATTCGTCCTTATTATAAGTAGTGGATATATTCTTATTATAATTTTTTTTTTTTGTTAGATATATTCTAATCTTCTTTATTTTTGTGTTGAAATCGGAGATTTCAACAGCGGGGGAGTATGTTCGGAACATATCCAAACTGCGGTGCAATAATCCCTTTTTAATATTTCCGAGACGGACCTGTGCGGGAACGGCCTGCCTAGCGAGGACGCCACGATTCCTAAACTAATCTCCGACAATGCAAGTCGCATATTTTATTTTCTCCGGGCGATCAATTTAAATATATTGATCAGCTTTATCATTTTTCCGTTATTATTCCAAAGTTACAGTGATTGTATTGTGAGTATTGTTTTGAGAAACTGTAAGTACACTTTTAATTCAGAGTTATTCACCTGCCAATGGTATCAGTAATGTGAGATGTTAAACGCATAGTTTGCTGGATTATTGTCACCTTCATCAAGTTGCGATAATAAAACATTATTGTTTGAGTCAGAATTTATTCTTCCTGAACCTGCATACGAGAAATACAGCCACTCCATCGAAGAAGTAAATTTTAATTCCTAGTATGGTGATTGGGGTTAAGAAAGAGAAGCTGTCCCCATCATATATATATATATATATATATATATATATATATATATATATATATATATATATATATATATATATATACATATATATAATCTAACTAATATAACCTAACACAACCTATATATAAATATATACATAAATATAGTTTTTAGTAAAACAATTATTGTGCAAGTAAATAAAAACTGTAACTACATAATGTAAATAATTCGATACATTCATGTTAAATAAACAAACTATGTATTACAAGTGTTAACCTAAACGTAAACGTCAAAATAAATCTATTTTATACTAAAATTGTGGATAATTTTTAATAAAAAGTTAATTATTTTTTGATAATATTTGTTTGGTTTTTATTTAATGCTTATTCTCACTATTTTATACATGACATATCCAAGTCATCTGTATCAACTGTTAACTTATTTAAAACATCTACCAATAAAACATTCGTATTTTGCATTATTTTGTACAATAAATCAACTTTTTCAGTCAGCTGATCTAGTCGATTGTGAATAGCTTCCAATTGATCATCACAAACTGTTGTGCTATCTGAAGTACCAGAGTCTCCCATAAGTTTTTTATATTTTTTGCCAATATTAACTTGGGCTTTTAAATCTTCTACGTCTGCAGGTGGCACTAAAATACAAATAAACAAATGAAAGGAAGTAATATTAATTTTTTCTATAATGAAGTTATTATAAGAATAAATAACAATAAATTATCAGAAGAATGGAGGACAAGCGAATAAATTCTATTATTCAAAAAGGGCGATAAGAAAAAACTAGAAAAATAGGGAGGTATCAATTTGCTAAATTTTTTCGGATTGCCGAATATAGGGCTCTCCTAATTATCGCCATTCATCCCTGTTGTTTGTAAGACGTTTCCACATTGGCCTGCAGTTCTTTTAATATCGTCGCTCCATCGCATTTGCGGTCTTCCCCGTGGTCTTTTGGCTTCATATGGCCGCCAATTCCCGATTTCTTTATTTCATCGGCCATTTCAGTTTAGCTGCCTGTTCGACAGCATCTTTTACTTTTGTTCTATTACGAATATCTTCATTGGTTTTATGGTCTTTGAGTGAGATACCCAGCATCTGTCGTTCCATATCTCTCTGAGTTTTTCTGATCTTCTCCATGTTTATTTTAGCGAATGTCCAGGTTTGAGCTCCATATGTAAGCACAGGTAGATACAGGAATTGAACACTTTGTTTCGCAGTCTTTGAGGTATATTTTTATTTTTAAGTACGTATGAGAGTCTTGACATTTTGACCCAGATATGTACCTATATTCATCTATGTGTTCTATCTCTGTCCCTTCGATGTTTATCATACGTTTGTCATCTTTGTTTGACATTAGTTTAGTTTTGCTGAAATTCATTTCTACATCATCTGCGTATCTAAGATGGTTCAAGTATCTTCCGTTAATAGGGATTCCCATATTTTCCCAGTCTATTGACTAAAAAATATCTTCTAGCGCAGCTGTAAATAATTTTGGATATTGTGTCTCCTTGTCTTACTCCTCGGATGATTTTTACTGGTCTTGTTTCGATTCCATTACCCAATGTCACTATCATTTCAGCTTGTTCCTAAATATTATGTATTAGTATTTTGTACCTGGAGTCGATCCGGTTGTTGACTAATGCTTCTTCTATTGCCCACAGTTCTACGCTATCAAAAGCTTTTTCATAATCTATAAAAGCCAGACATAAAGGGAGATTGCATTCGTTAGTCTTTTCTATTAGGTTTTTTAAAGTGTATTGATGGTCACAGGTCACCTTTTCTAAATCCGGCTTGTTCTACTGGTCGATAATTTTTCAGGTCTGTGGTGTCTCCCTTTTTGTGTATTAGTATTGTTTTAGCAGTATTCTATTGTTCGGGTATGTTACCGTGGAATAGACAGAGACAATGTGTATAAATAAAGAACCACCGAAGATAAAACCATCACAACAGGCAAATCAAAGACAAACTCACGAGCCATCTTAAAAGACGATTTAATAAAATGCTTAGAAGGTAAACAAAGCTTCGTAATGGAAGTACAGAAGAGAAATGGGATAAGAAACTTATTTGAGATGATATCAAATAAGATATGATAATATTTGACAATTTAAAAAATCCCTGAAATTACAACAATGTTTTGTGAAATATATGTACTTACACATTTAAAGATATATACTTACGAATATAGTATGCAATAGTAAATGGTTCTTCGGCAACTTTTCTATTTACGCCATCGATGACTGCTTTTATATAATTGGCAATATTTTCAATAGTGATGTCTTTTATATGCCCTATAAGATTATATTTATCATTCCAATAATATGGTATATCTTTTTTTCTCAATATTGCTTCGTATTTTATGAGCATCTAAAAAATTTAAATATTTTATGTAATAATAAAGAGTCAAGACTATAAAAATTAACATCTATTTGTACTACTGGTCTCTTCCGAAGAAGTTACGCAAAAAAATAGTGTACGGTACTTAACGGTAAGAAAATGGATAGTATTTAGGCTGATGTCGACTTGTGAAGGTAATGGTGCTAAAAGAATAATAGATTTCATAGTATACACAGAAGATACAACTCAAATAATTAATAACATTAAAACTTAAAATATGCAGAAATATGCACACCGCATAGGTTAGTAACAGCGGAAGTAAACAAAATAAATGAAGATGTTGAAAAAGTAAAGACTATGTCAAGATAAGATAAGAAAAATAAAACAATTAGAAAATAGGAAAAATACCAACTAGCAACTGTAGAGAATTTTAACAAATAGAAGAAAAAATGGAACTTGAAAGAGAAATAAGAGGAATTTAGACAAAACAAATCAAAGAATTTAAAAAATACAAGATTAAAGAAAGGAGAAATGGAAAATATATGTGGAAACAACAAATGATCAAGAGAAAATAATATATTAAGAGAAAAAACAACTTAATCAAGATTATTACAAAAAAAAAACAGTGAAAAAAGAGAAAGAAATAAGAGGACTAAAAGACGAAGTGGACAATTTAAAAACTAGACCAGACGAAAACGTATTTATACGACGTAAATAAATTTGAACTGAATGATGGGATACCAAATCCAAAGAGAAGATATAATCCCACCAAAACACTACATTGAGACAAACAGTAGGGGAGAGGTAGGTACAGTGAGATGGTCGGAACACTACGAAAAACTCGGTAGAGCTTACTACGTTCGGTATTGTCCGGTAGAACTAAACGAACATGCCTAATACCACTTTCAAGTGAAGCAAACAAGAAACCGTTGAGATTCAACAAGAAATGTTTTAGTTATCGCTGGTCGTTCGAAATAAGTTCGTCTTTTAAGTCATTAAATTAGTGAAAATTTTCACTAGTTTAATGACTTACTTGTTTCTTTAATAATAGAGATTTGCAGATTGAAGTCAATAAATCTTTTTCTTCTTCGCGTGTCATATCAGATGTATCCGACGTTGGCGATCACCATTGCGAAGGCTTCTCGATCTTCTGCAATATGGAATAATTGTCCTGCATTTGATATCTGAGTCCATTCAGGAATGTTTTTTAACCAAGAAACTTGTTTTCTTCCTACACCTCTAAGGCACATTTAATTTCACATAGAGGCTTTTACTAATAAGATATTAGGTACTATTACAAAAATTTTATATTTATAAAAAATTACATTAGTTTCTGACTATACCCAAAAATCGACTACTACCTCGTCATGTTAATGCTGTCTTACTGAATTTTACTTCCCGTCACCTCAGCCAGTTGGTCTGTGTCGTTTTAACTAACAAGAACCACGTGTTCAAGTTGAACAAAGAAACATGTTGCTCTTTAAGTATTAACATCTTCAACCATTGTTATCGACGTAGAGTCGCGTTATAATTTAAATTTAAATATGTAAAACCATATATTGATGTCTCCACTGCATTTTAGTGTTGGCTACAAGTACCAAAAGAAGGCACTGAGGATGATCTGAGCTAGATCGAAAACTTTATGTATTTATAAATTTTGGACGACACTTTTAACAAGTTTAAATTAAATGTTTTTGTACCAAGATACAAATTTTGACGTTTTTTACTTCTGTATAAGTTTTTTATCTATGGTATACAGCCAACTATGGTTTTTTATCTATGGTATTTTCCCATTAATTTTTATAAGAAAACTAAATTTCTACAAAAATAAATAATATACATATCATATCTTAATGCTGACTTAAATCAAATATATATAAATATACATTACCTCCATGAATACAATACTCAGAGGCTTTCTCCAGAAACTTGCCTCACGTTCTTCGACTTCCCATAAAAATATAGTTTTTATGTAGTAACTTGCAATTTTGTGGCTTTTGTGATCCCTTAATTTCTAAAAAAGATTCTATTTACGCTCAAACTTTTATTACTTAAAGATAGTGTGTTTTAAAATATTTGTTATAATATAAAGTTTCGATACTTGAGTAACCTATATGTTGTTGTAATAGTTTTGTAGCCATCCAATACTGCAAAATATCTGACAGTAAGACACGGTTTACTTGTAAACTTGGTTCAGCTGAATAAGCAAATACAATTTGCGAGGAACCACAAAGTGAGCGACACCTGGGGGTAGATTTTAAAAGTATCTATGTACTGAAATTGTCATTAATTTGTATACATATTAGCGACCGGTTTATATTGTAATTAACAATAATTTCGACTTCAAAAAACTGTTGCAGTGTTCCTCAATGTTCAACCTATTATAATTCACAAACAAAATTCCATACATAAGTTTACGCTGGACGAGAATATGAGAAAAGTGTGGCAATGCATTTTGCGAATTGGCAAACCTATAACCAAGTACATGACAAGTACAGTTTACATTTTACTGAGAGCGATTACTTTCCACGTAAGTGTTGATTAAAATATTATTTATATTTTAATATATTTATACTTAATTTACTTTATAGTAACACCTCAAACTATATTGAGAAGACTGAAGAAAAATGCTGTTCCGTCAGATAAATTGCCTCAACGGTCATATGAAGTTATTAGTAGAAACTAAGATCTCTGCCGACCTTACAACCACATAAATAATTGAGATATGTAAATATGTAAATTTTACTTCGCGTGTTTCAGACATACTGTAAAAAACAGACATTTAATTTTATTTTTATTCAGGTTTGGGAGTCGATTACATTATGTATAAACTCGAATTACAAACAAATAATCTTTGAAGAACGTACTCCAACTTTTACTTTGGCAAAACACACGTGTAAATGATTTATACTAAACGTGTTATAGCTTCGAGATCAAATTAAAAAATGGTTTGTTTTCCCGAAGTGATCGTCCATCTTTGAAATCTTGAGCGACCTCTGTCGAAATTGGCTGTCGCAAATATTGAGACTTCAGTTCTGTTGAAAATTCAGATAATGTCGAGGAATTATAGCGGTTAAAATAATAAAACGATAACAAAAATAATACAAGAAGTATGAGTTTCAGATAAGTGACACTCAATTCGGATTTCGAAATGAATTGGGAACACGAGAAGCTCTTTTTGTCTTAAATGTGTTAACACAACGATGCAGAGACATGAATGTAGATGTATATGCATGTTTTATTGATAATCGAAAAAAATTTGACTGCGTTAACCATCAAAAGATGATCGAAATTCTGAGAACAACTGGAATTGACGAACACAACTTGTTAATTATCTCAGAACTATATTGGCACCAAACAGCAACAATTGAAATAGAGCACACAACATCCAAATATATACGAATCCAACAATCCAACCCAAAAAAGAATCGAACAAGCGAGGAAAACACTCACGAAAACACAATGAACATAAAAATATTTTTTAAATGTTATGTTTTCTCTGTTTTGCTGTATGGCTGTGAAAGTAGGACAATGGACTCTGAAACAGAAACAATAATAGATGCCTTTGAAATGTAGAGTTGTCATTCTCTCTCCTGCTACTGACAAAGAATGTAGTGCGTAGAATCTTTTTAATTAATTTTAAACTGTTTGTCCTTGTTTGAGTGTAGTGTTTTGTAAAATTTTATGTTAACATTCATGTTTATTACATTTTACGCTTGCTGAATAGCCCATATTTGACGAAATGTCCCTGAAGATGCTATTTTAAGCGAAAGTACTTGATCAAGATTTGATTAAACTTTTGCTCGATAATTGCCTTAATTTTCAAAGTTCATTTATTCGAGCATTCAACCTCATATCAATTAATTCTTTCATTAATTGGCTATTTCAAGAAAAGTAGAAAATATAAAAATCTACCTTTATAAAAATGAAAAAATTATTTTGTCATTGTGGTATTAGTATTCATCTACGAACTAGAATGTTAAAATGCTATGTATTCAGTACTTTGCTTTACGGTGTTAGGGCATGGACTCTTAAACAGAGGAATGTTAAAAATCTTAAAAGCTTTGAGATGTAGTGCTACCGCCGTATACTAAAAATAAGTTGGGTGGATAAAATTACAAATAAAGAGGTAATACGCAGAATAAATAACGATCCAGAAGTTATACTGAATATAAAAAAAGAGAAAACTTGAATACTTAGGCTACTTGATGAGAGGACAAAAGTACACATTCCTACAAAATATAATGCAAGGAAAAATCCAAGGACGCAGAAATCCAGGCCGTAGAAGAATGTCCTGGATGAGAAATTTAAGAGAGTGGTTTGGCTGTACCACTAACGAATTATTCAAAACAGCAGTAAATAAAATTAGAATCGTCCTAATGATATCCAATCTCCGATAAGATAGGCACTCAAAGAAGAAGAAGAAAATATAAACTCAATGTTAAAACTCATACACAGAGAAGAAGTTGGTATATTCCCTGGCTTCGCTTACTTGCCTGTGGTCTTCACTCAAGCAATTCTTTTGTCCACCTGTCGTAATTCATTCTTGCAACATGTCCCGCCCATCTCCATTTTTGCCTTGTAATACGTTCGATAATGTTTTTCACTCCGGTTTCTATGAGAGTTAAGGTTTATGCTCCGTATTTGAGGACTGGTAGAACGCACTGGTTGAAACCTTTGGTTTTAAATGGATTGGGACATTTGTTTTAAACACGTCTCTCATTTTTCCAAATGTAGCCCAACATAAATTTACTCTTCTGAGTAGTTCACATGTTTGGTTGTCTCGCGTTAATCTTATTTTGTGGTCCAAATACACATAGGAAAACGAAGACCAGGAAGGCGAAGGATTTTCTCGCTGAATAATCTACGTACATGGTTTAACAAAACAACCACAAATCTATTTAGAGCAGTGTGTGCAAAGTACAGATTGCCATGATCCAAAAGAAATACACGTATTTTTACACAACTTCCATGCGTGATTTCTCGGTTTCTATTAGCTCATTGGGGACGAGATACATTCATCATTTTTTTTTGTTTTCCCATAATTTATCTTTAAACCGAGTCTCTATGTTACTTGCTTTTATTGTAGCATAACTCTGGATTCTCTTAAGTCATTACTACATCGGAGATGATTTAGTTTCTGTCCATCGATGTTAATATGATAGGCCCATACCGATTTCTTAATATTGTTCTAAAGCTATTCTCTTGTGAAATTTTAATAATATTTATTATGTTTAGTTAAAAATTATCATAACTTCAGTTGGGAACACGTCCATTTTGACGTTTCGACTTCAACTTCGGAAGGTATTTTGGGAACGATTTTCGGGATTTTAGTCGAAATAACAAAATGGGCGTACTTTCAACGGGAATTGTCGTTAATTTCCATTAAAGATAGCAAATTATAATTTGCGATCTAGAATTATTTTTCCTTCTAGTGGAATATATCCTAGACCTACGTTATAAACATTTGGTGCTCTTATTAGGTTTCATAATAGTTAAAATATTGTTTGTGCCAAAATCATTCGATATTGGGGTTAGCAGATTTGTAGCACTGTATCGTCTGACTGTTTTTCTACCCATTGTATTAAAATAATTTTTCAGTATTCTAGGGTCTCCAGCAGATTTATAGTGGCTACTTTCAGATTCCAGATTTCAGTGCAGTACAAGAGTGTTGACGATATATAATATGTTGCTATATTATGTTTTCTGTTGCTTTACGGATCGGTAGTATCTTCGTGAAGAGGTAAGACTGGATTATTCTTAATCTGCTTATGGTCATTTACTAAGGCGCCCTTTCTGTGATTATTAAGTGAGGCTATTTCTAAAAGAATGGAAGCTATTTGAGTTGGGCGCGTCTCAATGATACCAGTTACAATACGCGATGTTGTGAAGTTGTTTATCGACATATTCAAACAAATTATGACGAAATAAATTTTGGAACTTCTTTGTCTTAGTTTAGGCGAGACTCATTGATATCTGGCTTTTGGTCGTAAGATCATTGTACCATATCTTATTTCTTCCATTAAACTCTAATAACTCCTGTGGTCTCAACGAAGGCCAACAGTTTATTGGTTGTTACAGAATCTCTTCTGGTTCAATCCTCAGTTGACTAGTGAATTTCTGCCTTATATCACTTAGCACATTACAATGGCATAGGATCTGTACGGTAGTCCCTTCTTCCATTACACATCTTCTGTACCATGATTCATTTATCTTACCGAGTTTGTATTTCTTAAACGACAATACCCAGTCATAATTTCAGTGACTATTTTAATCTCTTGTTTATTGATTATTAATATTAAATTTTCCGAGAGTTTTTTATCAATATTCTTGAATGTTTTCTTGTCTGGATTTGAGTGGCTCTACATTTTTTATGATGATTGCTTATGAGCCACTTTTGAACCTCGCTTTTTTTGTAGCATCTTTGATGATGACACAGAATGGTTCTGGGCCTACAAAGGTTTTTATCGAGCCTTGTTCTGCCAAAAAATCTGCTCGTTCATACTTATGCACCCGTTTATGACCTGACACCCACATTACAGACAATTTATTATCTTTTGATAGACTGTCGAGGAGATCTTTGCAGTACCTCGCCAGTTTTGTTTTTGTAAGTGGGTTCCTTACTACCAGAATAGCCACTTGGCTATGTGTATAAGTGTTATGCACCAATGCAAGCCACCAAAGCAAAACTTTAGCATGGAACACAGTTGTGCATTGACTTAGGCTGTAAGATTTATTAAAATTACATGTCTGCTTAAATAGTGTTGATCAAGTACCATTTGACAGTTTTAAGTCCGTGTCAGACGGTCAAATAATTTATCAAACTAGTTTGACCAAACCAAAAAATTGACAGCATGTGACGTCACATCCTGAGTTTTATCAAATCCTCTAAAAATAGAGGATCTTCTATTTTTCAAGGTCAGTTTGATCAAACTTTAATTTTGATTGGTCGCAAAATATCATAAAGACAAATGATAATCAACAGTTAGACATAGCAGATAAATTCATGAAATTTGAAATTCATTTTTCTTCTGTTAATAGTGTGTGGTTTGGGTTTATTTTTCTATTTTCCTATTTGCTGTGTGAATAAAAATAGTTTAAAATGTCTTGGAGCCAGGAGCAAGTTTCTGCTTTAATAGATTTATATATAGAGAGGACCAATTTATATAATGTTAAACATCCTCACTATTATAAATAATGTACTCATAAGCGATGCTTGGCGGAAATTGCTTTGAAACTAAATGATATACGGTCAAATCCTGAAGGAAGCCGATATTTATTAGTGATATTGTACTTCCTAATAAACTTTATTTGATGTTGAGGATATGAAACAAAAAATTAATTCTTAGTGTCATTGGTGAAAAATTATTCTCATTGTGGTGTTTTGAGGATCTTTTGTTTTTACGGAATCAGTTTACGGCTAGGGAAAGCGATTACAATATGAGTGAGGAAACAAGTGGCAATGAAACATGAAACAGTGTTAATAAAGGCAAATGTAAGTCCCTGGTAAACATTTTGCAGGAGGTAATTGAAGGCTTTGGTTTGTCAAAGATGCAGACAAAGCGCTATTAAATTTATTGCTAATTTCCTGGCATTCTTCTTCTGTTTGTGGTGCCCGCAAGAAGAACAATTTGAATTGATATTTTGACTTAAGCAAATTCAAACATCTACTTTTGTGCATTTTATTAGATAAATACAAACCCTTAAGTATTATTTTTCTAAATTTTTTATGATTGCAGTCATTATTTCTTTTACTATTACTCATATACACTAAGTGTATTATGTGCAATTCTCGTGTAGTAGCTTAAACTTTTTAATGTTTCCCCTGTGCATAAATAGCGTAAAGTAACCGTTAATATGCAAAGAACAATATTGCTTTAATATAAATACTCTTAATTCAGTCATTTGTTTGTACCTGTTCGCACTATTAATACTTTTATGCATGGATGTATTTTTTTTTGCCAATGTCTTCTTGGACATAATTTATTAATGTCTGAAAGGACTGCTTAGACATTCTCAAATAATTTTTATAACTTGGATCTTCTACTCTAAGTTCGTTATCCACCATAGATAAAACATTGTTAAACGAGCTTTCATTTTGTCGAAGAAACCAAGGTCTAGCCCACATACTACTTTTTTACTCTTCCATCCTGATATGCCTGAACAGTGGAAATACTTAAACAAGTCACAACTTCAGCCTTTTTATTTTCATTGTGGATAAGAAAAATTTTAATTGTAAATAAAGCACAAACTATACAAATAAATAAATGAAAGAGGCAATTATTCCATTGACATTCGTCATTAGACAACTGTCAATAAAAATTTAATCAAATTAGAATGATTGTGTGACAGCTAGATTTTTAAAATTTGTTCAAACTGGAATTATGACGTCATTACGTCAGTTGGCTCAAACTAGTTTGATCAAATATTTAACCGATAAAATAAAAGAAATAAGAATAAGACTTACAATCAATTTATTCTACCACCAATGATCGGTTTCGCATACTATAATTTGCTATGCATTCTCAGGTCAACGGTACAAGGTTAACTAAATTAGGGTACTTAGGGTACTGTCTAGTAGAGAATATACAGCAATTATGCCAATATAATATGTGTGTGATTATTAAATATGACTTTAAAAATTGATTAAATAAACAAAGTAAAACTTAAGTGATATTACTTACATGCCGATACAATATATAGGCAGTAATATTTAATAGTTATTTATTTATTTGATTTCAATTTTACTAGATTGTTTCGTAACTTAAGTTTTACTTTGTATATTTAACCAATTTTTAAAGTCATATTTAATAATCACACACATATAATATTGGCATATTTGCTGCATATTCTGTACCAGACAGTACCGTAATACGGGTTTTTATAATTTCAGCATTTAGTTTACCATGTTGCTGGTAAAATAAATTGATTGTAAGTCTAATTCTTATTTCTTTTTACCTATTTGAAATGGACTCACACAGGCAACATATTCAAAAATTTAAAATTTATTTCGTCAAACTCCTACGCATTTACTTTGGCGCGTTTTAGCCTTTATGATTAGGATTTTTGTTTTTGTTTCCATTTATGTTGTTTAAGAATTCAGGAATAATAAAAAACTTTACCTTCAATAATTTTATAGTGGCTTTCATTGTGTTATACTGATTTCCAGAAATCAGCTCACGTTCTTGTTCTTGAAATGAAAGGCGCCAATATATGTTATTTGGGTTCTGCGGTCCGCATTGTTCTCCATAAGGGTTTTTGGGAACAACGAGAAATCTACTCTAAAATGAAAAATGTTAATATTATATTCATTTTAAATCACATCAATAATAATACAATTGTTGTGGGAACCTCTTCGGATTGGAGTTGTTTATTGGCTAACCTCCATCAAAATCCGTTAATCGCTTTCATCAATCAGAATTGTTGTTTGCTGCTTTTATCCCTTAAAGGAAATTGGATATGCGTCATTTTAGCATGCAAAATTTTAATTATATCGGGAAAGGGAAATTATATACAGAAAAGGTTTTCTGTAGCAAAAAGAATTTTGAAGAATGCATTTCTTACAATTCGAGTACTTATTATAATTTCTAATGAAACTTATTAAATATTTTCCCTAAAAAATACTGAACTATTCTTCATCTAATTCGTTTTGGGAGTCTTAGAAATAAAACATTATGGTTAGTCTACGGAACTAATTTTGTCTTAGTAAATTGTTTATCAAACGTCTGGAAAAATATGATTGTTCTTCTTTTTATTTACGATCTTTCTACCTCCTAATACCGATTCATCGCTGTAAAATTTTTTAAAGTCTTGTAGTCTTTCTTATTTCATTTTCTCACATGATTCTACAGGATCTTTAATTCTTCTTCTTGTGCCACTCCTATCGGAGATTGGAAATCATTAAGGCTATCCTGACCTTGTTCACAGCTTACCTAAAGAGTTCATTAGTCGTACAGCCAAACCACTGTCTCAAATTATGCAACCATTAAGGTCTTTAATTAAGCGCTTCTTAATTATATAAGAATATAACATCATTCACATACACCCTGCGGTTGAGCGGGGTGGAGCGCATTCGAAATGTTCAATTTTCCACGACCCCATGACGCATAAATTTGCACCCACCACTGACAGCAATGGCCTGGTCAATCTTAAAAAAATATATATAAATCGATGACGCTGTCATCCCATATAATCCATACCAAAAAGTTACTTTTCGGAAAGCATTGGACGTTCTTAGATCTCATCTGGATTGATATCGTCCAAATTTCGATAATTCTGTTTGTTGACTCACTCATTATCTAAAAATAGCCCTCATTGCTAAAGATGGTTTTTCGATGAAAATTATTATCAATTTCCAATTGACCCAGAATCATTCCAGCTAACATACGTCGTTGTATATGGTCGTCTTTACACCTTTAGCTTTTTGGTCAGTTAAATTTTGTAATAATAACTTTGAAGACCCAAGTAATGACGTAAAATTCACCAATTTGTGGTCTGTCAAAGGTCGAGTTTCTGTGAGCGAGGTCAAAATAACAAGTAATGAAATTCAATTACCTAGGAGTAGAGATCACTAGTGACAGGAATATGAGAACAGAGACCACAAGGCAAGCATAAAAAGCCGCAAAAGTATATGGAGAAGCCTCCGAGAAACTATATGGAGAAACAAATATCTGACCAGACTGTCTCAGATTTTTCTTCACATTTTCATAGGCAGCGGCGAATTTTTCAGCTGCTCTTATGTTTTGTTGATGTACGGCTGTCGGTTGATTTTTACTCAACCAGTGGACTTAAATGTAGCCACCATCCTACGAATAGTCCTCTCGGTAAGAAGATTATGGCGGCCGTAAAATGGATGAAATGAATGGATGGAATTATATTAAACACCGTAGTTGTTTAATTTAATTTTTATTATCAGACAAATAATAGAGAAGTCTATTGAATATGGAAAACCAGCATACATGTGCTTTGTAGATTTAAAAAGTGCTTTTGACAGGAAGAAGCGAAATGACATCTTAAATTTATTACAAGCTAAACAAATAGACCATCAGATAATAAGGACAATTAATGAAATTAACAAGAACAACAAGACGACAGTTAGAAATGCCAACAAGAGAAACAGAATGCATAGAACTAAAAGGAGGAATCCGCCCAGGAGACTCGCTCAGCCCATTGTTATACAATTCGGAGATGAATCAAATAATTCACGAAGTAAGAAAACGACACGGATACCACATGGGAGCGCATAAAATCACGATACTATGCTATACTGATGATGCAGTACTAATTGCTGATAATGAAGATGACCTACAAAGGCAGCTCCACAGCTTCAATATCACAGCAAACAAACTTAATATGAGAATATCAGTAAAAAAAACTAAATGTATAGTAATCTGTAAAGAACCGCGTAGGTGCAAACTAGAAATAGACGTCAAAATAACAAGTAATGAAATTCAATTACCTAGGAGTAGAGATCACTAGTGACAGGGATATGAGAACAGAGACCACAAGGCAAGCATAAAAAGCCGCAAAAGTATATGGAGAAGCCTCCGAGAAACTATATGGAGAAACAAATATCTGACCACGGAAAGCAAAATAAAAGTATAAAAGACAACAGTAAGACCAATCCTAACATATGCAGCAGAGACAAGGACCGATACAAGAAAGACGAAACAACAAATCAACAATATCGAAATGAAAGTATTAAGATCAATAGCGGGCATATCATTAAGAGACAGACAAAGCAACAGAAGTATACGCGAACAATACAAAATTCAAAATATTAACAGGTGGATAAAAACAAGAAAAAAAAAAAACTGAAACGAACATGTAAACCGAATGGGACCAGATAGGTTAGCAAACATCTGTAAAAACAACAAACCGTATAGCAGAAGACCCGTTGGAAGGACGCCAAAAAGGTGGAAAGATATTGTACAGTCGACAAGGATTAAAACAGAATAAGAGGCAGACAAACGGGAGTAATCCTAGTCGCACGAAGAAGAAGAACAAGATTTCAATAACATGGCCTTCACAAACTGTCAAAGTTCGAAAAACCTAATTATTACAATCCAAGTTTTGCCCAAGTGGCCTATTCTAGTTTTATCTTAATATATTTATTTCTGCTTCTTCTTTTTCAAGTACTGCCTTCATTAGTGGAGGTTGGCAACATATTCGGAGAACTGTATGAAGTTTTGTGCAGTTCTCAAGAGAGTATTATGAATTGAGTCCTGTCCAATCACGGATATTTTTCATCTAGGAATATTTTCTACTGATGTGATGATTAGTTGTGTCGAGATTAGGTGTCGAGATACATATATCTTCTAGTTATGCGGTCTTTCTCATTTTGATTTATGTTAACAGTTCTCTGTTTTTTCTATTTTTTTCAAAACTTTTGCCATTTTTGTGTTGATCCACCTAGGATATTCAAATTATATTTCGATATACCGCAGTCGTTAAGCATGGGCTTTATCTAAATTGGCCATTTATATTATAGCTCTTATTTCCAAGTTTCAGTTCCATATATTATAATAGGTTTAATAGAAGTCATGTATATTCTAATTTTACTGTCTGTTCTCATGTATCAGTTGTTCCAAATTAAAGTTATTATACATCCTGACGCAGTTACTACTTTATGAGGCTTTTTAAATCTTTTACCGCATCGTGACTACTGGAGATGTAAATTACTAGATATTTGATTAACTATCTTATCTATTCCACAGTTTTGTTGATAATTAAGAGCATCTTATTAGCTCTCTGATGATAGTCATGGCTTTTGTCCGTTCGATTGATATGTTAATGTTAAATTCTCTACTTATTTAGTAAAATGTAAGCAATTGTCTAGATCATTCTTTGGTTTTGCGTATACCGTATCGATTAAAGTGATTATTTCATCCAAAAAATAATTTATAAATACGTAGTTATCAAGTAGAGTGGTCTCTAATAAAAATCTTTGTTTTTTCTAAGAAACTCAATATTTTGCTATTTATTTTACAGTGTACTCCTGATGAAGCTATCAAAAAAATATCGAAATATTAAGTTTCTTAGAAAAAATAAAGATTTTTATTAGAGACCACTTTACGGCATACATATATTATGTTAAAAAGAGAGTCATGTTAAAAGATGTCTGAAAAAATAATAAACAATATAAGTTATAAAATGCCTGCACTTACTTTATGAGGAAAAGGATTACGTCGATAATTTTCTTTCGGCCACATGTCGTCACCAGTAAATACAAAGCAAGGTACGAGGTCAATATCCAAGTTGCCAATGCACTTTAATTTTAAAGTAAATGCTGGAAAAGATTTCTGGAATTTACCCTAAAATCATAAAGAAATGTATTAATTAATTTTTCTTATCAATTTAGTCCATACATGTTCGTATATAACGAATTTAATTAAATAAACGAGTCATAATAGATGCAATGGTCTATAATATAACAACAAGGAGATAAGCTTTGTCCTTCTTCTTCTTCTTCTTTCAAAGCTATCCTGACCTTGTTTACAGCTGACCTAAAGAGTTCATTAGTGGTACAGCCAAACCACTCTCTCAAATTACGCAAGCTTTGTCCATTTCTATTTAATTCGATCATGAATAAAGTAATAGAGAATCTACCTCTATTAACTGACAGACAAGCTTCAGGACAACAAGTTGTTACCCAGTTGCGAAATCTTGGTGTTTATTTTCTATTTAAAATTGTAATTATTGTACAAGGTGCACAGTTTATTATTGCACCAACAATAGATTTAAATACCTGAACGTGCACCTGTAAAAGTCATTATCCAGTAAGAGAAATAAGCTAAATAAAGTAAGCAAGAAATAAATCAGAAGAAATAATCTGTCCGTCAATAAGTTCCGGGCTTAACTAGTAAAACAACATTTTTTTGCAAAATTTATTCTTTAACCAATAAAATAATTTCATTAAGCGACAATGCAATAATTCCAACTCTTTTCTAATTTTTCGATGCCGCCCTTACAAAACGATTTATCTTTGCCTTCAAAATAGACTTCAGTTTCGGCGATTACTTCCGCATCGGAGCGATATATATTGCAACTGAGATTTTTTTTAGATCGGAAAAAGTTGGAAATCGCTGGGGACCAGATATGGTATACACGGTGGGTGCGGAAGCAATTCAAAGCCACATTTTTTCATCGTTTTCATAGACTTGTGACACTGTATTGTCGTGGTGAAACAACAATTTTTTCTTGAACAAATCAGGTCTTTTCTTTGCCATTTTGGCCCTCAAACATTCAAATAAATCAATATAGTAGTCACTGTTGATTGTTTCTCCATGTTTCGAATAGCCAATGAAAATAATTCATTGTGGGTTCCAAAATACAAAGGTCTTAACCTTTTCGGCAGTTTGTTGCACCTTTGGTCACTTTGGACGGCTTTCTTCAGTACTGTCCACTCAGATGACTAACGATTTTATTTAGGAGTGAAGTGATAGTTTCAAGTTTCATCTATTGTGTCATACCGATGCAAAAATTCAGACTTACTCCGATTAAATATGCTTTGAATCTATCGTTTATAAAAATCACAATCGTCATTTCAAACACTGTAACTTGGTAAATAATAATCCGAATTTTTCAGGACCATTCATCCTAAATACCTAGGGTATTCAAAGAATTGAATTTTGGGGGACTCTTCCCATTTTATCGAGCTCTAGGTTATCTGGTATGCTAGAGTGTCTCCCAAAAATTGTCCTACGAGCATGTCTGCATGGTCGTGTAGATATGTTCATTAAGACCCAGCTGACCCAATGACACCAGTTTAAAGAAGAATAGGTATGGTCTGGGTATTTTACTTGTTCCATTGTGTCGTTATTCATATCTCCAGATTGTGATACTTGTTGATCTTCGCGTTGTACTTAACGCCCAAATTATTGTGGTTAGGTATCGCCACAACAATATTACAAGCCTAGATAATTTATTAACTAGTATGAGATCCGGGCTCAGCCTGCACTGTTCCAAAAAAACCTGAGATTTCAGTGGTGTTTGAGCTTCATGAAGGGTGTACGGCTCATTTGCGAGTTGCGGGACCTCAAAACCTGATGCTGCTTTGTAGAGATTTCTAAGTTGTGTGGGTTTCATGCATCCCGTCATTATCTTTCGGGTCTCATTGAGGGTCACGTCTACCTATTAGAATTGAGCATATCTACTTCAGATGGGGCACGCGTATTCAGCGGTTGGGAAGCGTACTGTCTGTGTTGTTATTATTAAAACACCAGGGCATGCGGCCTAATCGCTTTGCATATAGAAATGTAATTAGGAAAGCCGACCCCACATAGGGACAAATGCAAAGATAATTATGATTGAAGAGCATTTGTACTAATACGCTTCGCAGTGGAAGGTCGTTCTATTAGTTTCTCCATCTACTCATTTTGCCCTCCAGCATAACAAAAAAACGCCTGTTCTGTAACAGCAAATATACGATTCTCATTAGGTGGTAATCATGAAACGTGCTACATATAAATTTAATGTGCTTATGATTAATTATCTTATGCTGTTTATCGTAAGATGCTGATAATTTAACGGAAGTGATCTCTGTTATAAGTTTCCTCTCAAAAACCCACGCGATATGTTCTGTTGGTGCAAGGATTTGACCGGTACATAACCTGCCTGCCAAGCATAAATTATGTTTGTTGTGGGATAAGGTGCTTAACAACATTTCTTTCTATTCTGGAATTGATCGGGCTCTGATATAGTTTAAATAAAGAGAATGCAGAGAATGCAGATGGGTCTGTAGCTAGGATCCTCTTCATCCTCTCCCGCTTTAAACTACTTTAGATTTTCTCTAAGGTTTTGGTAGTTTGTAGGTTTTACAGTATGTTTTGTATACATTCAAACTCCAGATTTTACTTTTTTGGTATAGGTGATTGATCTGTTCAGTGCATGTATAATCCACTCATGCAGCTATTCCGTTTTTTTAACATATTCGTGCTGTCTTGGAACTAGTTCACGCTGAATGTTGTTTCCAGATAGTTTGGTTAAGATTTCTGATTACTTTTGTGTCCTTTTGGATGTAGGGTAATTTTTATTCCTGTGGGTTGCCGTTAAGTTTTTTTAAACAGATTCCATGTTTTCCAGTATTCCATTAATTTTGTCTGGCTTGAGGCTGACAGGTTGTTGGAGGAGGGCTGTCCACAGTAAACTATTACTTCGCTAAAAGGATACGCAGTATAGAGTATTTCGTATCATTTCATAAGTTTTTTGGATTTTCTGGTCATTCCATGGACACATTGTCTGCATTCCCTGGAAATAGCTTTCTTGGATATACAGTCCATCTAATTTACTTACCGTTGCACGTCATTTTCATTGACAGAGATCGAAGTTGACATAGTTGCCAAATTATAAAAAAATCCTAAATCCATTTTAAATCAAATAGGTCACATAATTATTGCAAAAGTGGATTATACAACAAAAAAAATTAATATTTAATGTAAATAAATAGAAACAAAACAAAAGTTAAAAAATAATCTTGTTAAAAACAATTTGAGCCGCTTGTATGCGTCGTATAAAGATGTAAAATGGAATACTTAAAAAAAAAACAACACTTTTTCATTACTTATTTATATCTCATTACAATGACCATTTAAATTCTTACGTAACATTTTTGAATAAAACACACTAATTTTGTAAAAAAAGAAAAATCAAAGGAGCGGCTCTAATTATGCTAAATGAAATAACGAAACATATAAAATCAGAATTTTGATGTTTGTTGAAGGTAAACTAAATTCACGAACAAATACTTACAATGTCGGGATAGTATTATGAGGTTTTTTTCCTGGTTTTTCCCTCATAATTTACTATGGAATCACTAACAGGAGAATTTTACTGTCATCATGTCATGTGTTTGTCTTTTTAAAGACGAATTACATGCTATGATTTTTTCTGACGGATATTCTCAAGTTAAAGTTGATTTCATGTAATCGAATGAACTATCTTATAGTAAAGTCGTCCCAGGAGCGCAACTCAACAATATTGGCAATATCATTTTAAAGTCGTCTACTTTAAAATGCATAATGTATGTCTGAATTGTCAATATAAATGAGTCAGATAAAATTAAATTATTAGAAGAATTTTTCACTATGTAACAAAAAACAAAATTGTTTAATTTACTGTTTGTATTTTGAGAACGATTTCCGAAGTGGAAATTGAAACGTCAATAAACGTATATTTATCTTTAATTATGGCTTATTCCCAGTTAAATAGTAATTAAAAAGAACATATTTTATTAAATGGCTAAAAATATAAAACAAGAGGTATTCACTTTAAAATTCAAAATAATAAAGAACAAAAATTTATGCCAAAATATCACCTTCGTTCGATTACAGTTACAGTGTGTTCCGGACAAATTTTCTTCATAAAAACGCTTTATAATGCATTTATACAAATTGAAACATATTATTGTGTATTTCGTTAAGTTAACATTAATAGGAACCTTTAAATATTATTTACACGCGTATATAATAAAATATGTCTAGTGACTGTAATGCTAGTGTACTCGGCAAAGTGATTCTAAAAAAGAACACACCTACCGCCTAAATGGGGTGGGCTGCATTCGGAAAACTCTCATATACTATCAAAAACCAAAAAATACCTTTAAAATTAAGAACGAATGTATTTAATGCATGCGTCCTACCTGTTCTGACATATGGTGCTCAGACGTGGACGTGTACCAAGAGCAACTTAGATAGAATAAAGAAAACTCAAAGAGTTATGGAAAGACAAATGTTGGGAATATCGTTGAAAGATAAAAAGAATAACGAGTGGATAAGATGCAAAACCGAAACAACAAACGCTGTCGAACATGCATTGGAATTAAAATGGAAATGGGCTGGGCATAACGAAAGATATCAGGATGGAAGATGGAATAAAGAAATTGGCCGGTGAAGACCATATACTGCAAAAAGGTCAAGAGGTCGACCGCAAACGAGATGGAAAGATGACATTGAGCAAAGCGCAGGTCCAATGTGGAAAAGACAAATAGAAGACAGAGACAAATGGGAGAGGCCTATATTCAACAGATTATAGGCAAGAGTAGATTTTGGGCTATAGATAGATAGACAGATAGATCGCCTAAATATTTCGTGTTGGTATCATGTGACATCATGGGCTATGACGCGGATGACGTGCAACGGTAAGTAAATTAGATGAAGTATAATCTTTATTATCTCAAAAAAATGTTTGTAATTTTCTTGTCTTGGTTTCACTTTTTGTATCTTATAGTCGTTTAGTATCGCATGGTGGAATTTTTTCAAAGTTTGTTAAATCTTCTTCTGAATGGGATACTGTAATATAGTAAAAAGTGGGATCCACTACAACATATTGCAATTCAAATGCAAACTTTTTGAAGGTGCAGTAGTTTTTAAATAAAAAATTTGTATTTTTATATGTTCTCGATTCTGTGAACTATTAAGGGCAGAGGGACAAGTCAATATTATACCCAAAAACAAAGAAGTTACATCAATAACCTACTAGTAAATTATAAAATTACAAAAAAAAAATATAAAATTACAATTTTTGGTTGTGACCAGAAACTGGTGACCTCTAAGGCGTTCATCTTGATTGATGAAATATATTTCATTGAGATTTTCAAAATTGAATTTTAATATTTTGTATGTGGTAATTAAGTCTCCACGTTGTCGGCCAGATTCAAAAGAAGTTAAGTTAGCCATACTTTGTTAAGTCTTTCTGCATAAGAAGGTCTTGTTCTCGGTTCCAAAGGAATTCGAGTGGCTTTTCTTTGAACGTTTTCCAACAAAGTTTTGTGTCGAACCAAATCAAGATAAGACGTTGGTGCAGCGTATTCAAGAATGGATCTTCCGTAAAGAGTGTAAAGTTTACAGACTGGCTGCATTGAAGCTCTCGAAAAACACCTCCGAATAAGATGTAGACTGGAGTTTGCCCATTTACAAATATAAGTGATATGGCCAAGATAGGCTGCTGTTTACGATAACACCAAGGTTGTTATACGAGAACACAGAATCTAGTGGTTGCCCGTTAAAAAAGAACGACATAAGTGGGTTATTATTACCAATTCTAAGCACTACAAATTTTTCCGCATTTAAGGGTAGTAGCCACTGGGAACACCAAGTGAAAATAGAGTCCCAGTCCATTTGGAGGGTTAACTGGTTTGTGATTGAATTGGCATATATTTTTGTATCATCAGCATAGAACGATATTTTACTTGAAACTTAATAAGGAACATCGCTGGTATAAACCATAAAAAGCAGAGGTCCATGGACCGGACCCTGAGACACTCCACTTTCCACTAACTTGTCTCGTGAGAAAGATTCGGCAACTCTAAAATTGTAATTTCGATCTGTCAGGAAATCATCTATCCAACGAATTAAAGTACTGCGAACTCCGTAATGTTCTAGCTAATGTAGAAGTCTGCGCTTAGGTACACAAAAGCGTCAAACGGCTGCTAACTGTTCAGGGATGACGTCCAATCGTTAACACAATGAAGAAGATTAGTTACAGTAGAGCGACCAGAGACAAATCCATGTTGTGTTGGAATAACATGTGCCTGGAGAAGGAATTTGGTCATCTAATCGGAAATAATGGCTTCCATGACTTTGTCAACTACTGACAGCAAGCTAATCGGACGATCATTGTTGGGGTCGAGTTTATTGCCTTTTTTAAAAATAGGGGTGACGCGCATCTGCGCATCTTTTAAACAGTTTTGGTGTTAAACCATCTAAATCAGGTGAAGTGTTTGTGATAAGTTTAATTAAGTGTTGTTTGACATGATCTACTATGAATTTAACTTATTCGTAAGACGTAAGCATGTGCCGACTCGATTACAGTTAATAGCAGGTAGACAGCCATCGTTCGATTCTTTAATAAAAACCTGTGAAAATGCTAAAGAGAGAGTTTCGGAAGATTCTTTGTCAGAAGAGCATAAAGCCTGGTTGGTTTTTTGAAGTAGAGGAATGGAAAATTTAGATGTCAAGGAGGATCGTATATATTTGTACACTTTTTTAATGTGACCACTAAAATGGATGTTTTTCCTATTTACTATTGTCAAATAAGCGTTACTTAAAACATTACGTTACTTACATTATAAAGCGTTACAAATTTTCGTTACTTAAAAAGTTTTCCAGTTCCCGTTATGGACAGAATAGCTCAAAAGATAGACTATTTAGAGAAGAGAGCAGATTACCCTGCTTGTATTTATAATAAAAGGAGACTAGTATTATTACATCAATTTATTATTTTGACGATTAAACAACATTTAACAGTTCCCAACTTTAATTATATAAAATATTATAATTTTACTTACGGTCACTTTTAGGATATCCTCTTCTCCAACGTCAACGTGAAAAACACACTCCTCAGTACCTTCAGTTTTAAAACTCTTTAATGACGTACTAAGTACTTTTTCAAACCAACATAGAAGTTTAAATGTTGATACATATTTTGAGTCTACTAATAAAGTTTTTAAAGTGTCATTCCATGTTCTAAAATTAAAAAGAATTTATTTATATTTTAAATACTCAAAAGTTATTATAATATATAATAACTGTTCTGGCAATGGCTATTAGACTATATATGAGTGTTTAATATCATTAAACAATGAATTTTATCACCTCGTATGGAGAGCGCTAATTCTCTCAAATATTATTGTTGCATGTGTGGCCTACTTGTTTACTTATCACATGTTAATTTAAACTGTAACAATTATTTGTTTAAAATGACCTAGTAATTAATTTATAAAAGCCGCGTAAGAAATGAGAGAGGTAGAGTGGATCAAAAGCCAGCCACAGGTCCTAACGCTTCAAGTCATTATTTACCGGGTTCGTGTCAATAAAACGGTCAATTGGCTTTGGTGGTTTTACTTTGATCAATAATTTCAATTCGTTCATGTATTAATATAATAACTAATTCGTGCCTGTTACAAGAAAATTATACAATTAGGCTATTAGACTATAGGATAATAAATTGACATGTAAAAATTTGTCCAGTCACAAATTATTCCTATGTTACAATTTCATAATTATAGGAGTACATAAACACTTAAAATCTTTCCGTACGTCATATAGTGGGCACCTTCTTTACCATCGGTTGTATTGGGGGATTAAAACATAATATACTTCACCAGAGGATTGATGTATATTTCAAGCTAAGCACCATCGTTTTTGAAGAAGTTGTAAACGATTTTTGTTTTTAGACTTTCAGGTCTTTAGCTAAACATGGAACATACACATGGAACATTTATTATACAATAATTTTGTTATTATGTAGTAGCAGAATTGGGTACCATAAATCCAAAGAGATTTTAGAATTGTTTTAGAGGTTTTAGAATTATTTTTTTAATCAGTAGTGTCGATAGTATTGTTTTTGCAAATAGTAATTTAGAGGCACAATCAGGCACACAATTAAGTGCAGCAATATTTCCTTGTGGTACAAAAGTTTTGCTAGGATGCGGTATTGTATATCGGTATTGATATTTATGGTAAAAAGATCTATCTTGTATGTAAGATTTTAGAATAAGCAATTTCTGATTGTATATAGCAACTCATCATGACACACTTTATGAAAAGCCTGAGCAATATCTATTCAGGCAGCGGAGCAGTATGTTTTATTTTGTACTGCACGACTAATCTTTGTGATGATACCGTGTATTTTCAAACACTACAGCATGCTGGTTTCTAAAATCAAATTGAAGACCCGGTATTAAGTGTTCAGTCTTAAGAATTCGCTTATTCAGCTGGTTTATATATTTGGCGATTAATATAATGTGAATTGCTTTTCAAGAGCGGGGAAAATATCCAGTGCTTAAAATAGTGTTGAATAGTTAAAATATTTAAGATAGTTATAATAGTTAAATAGTGTAAAAATTATACAGTCTGTTCAATTTTTACATGAGAAAAACCATGTCATATTTTTCGCTGTATTAATTACTAACATTATTTACCTTAATTTTTAAAGCATTACTCTACTTTAACTCTTAGTAATGATTCATACTCACACTTCAACCCCACTCCTTTAGAAATACAGACACAGTATTTAGAAATAAATACCCTGAGTGTATGTACAGTAATGCTGGTAAAACTTTTTATAACCTTAATTTGGCTATTATCTGTATAACCCTTTACTACCTCTGCTAATGGTTTTGAACCAGCCATATTTCAGCTCATACTCTGAAATTATATTAATACTTTCACATAATTACACCCTTTTTCGTACAATGTCTTTTGTCGAATAATTTGCCATTAATTATGTCAAAATCTAAGGATTTTTTGGCGTTCAAGGAAACACGTGTACTTTGAAGAACTTTGGAAGATATAGGTTCAGTTGATGTAGTGATTTCAGCAACTTTTGATGTGGCGGTTTGAATTAGATCTTACAGTGAAGAAAATATTCCAATTTCGCAATGTCCATCCCTAGTAACACACGACGTCCTATGGACGTCCAGTTTTGGTCCGGACGTCCCTGGACGTAAAATGGACGTACTATGGACGTACGAAGTGGGAAGTACTTTGGGTGGACTAAATATGGACGTTCTCTGGACGTCCGTACCCGGACGTTCCATGGACGTCCATACTCGGACGTCCCCTGGACGTCCAAACTCGGACGTTTTCTGGACATCTGACATTTACCAATTATGGGATCAAATAGCAAATATTTTAATAAAATAAAAAATTATTTGCGTTAATAAAATAATTAAAAGCGAAAAGGTTAAATCATGATTAATTAAAAATTGTATAGTTTAATATATCCAAAACATGTTTTTGTTTAAGGTAAAGTGTAAAAATATTTTATTTCTAGATAATTCGTTACAATTGTTTTATTATTCTAGTTATTACGATGATATATGTTTGCTAATTCTAATAAGTAAAAATATGATTTTTATCAACAAGATGAATCTTGAAATCATTTTTCAAAGATGAACAAGTGGTAGTATATATTCTGGCTGAGATAATGTCATTGTCTGTCATATCATACCTATTTAAACAAATGGCACAGTTTAATTATATTTGATATTATTAATGCTTTAATAAATGAAATAAAAGAATTCTATTTAAGCAGTATACAGTGTATTGGTTTTTTGATGCTTGGCTTTGTGTTGTGGTTATTGTATATCGTTAAAGGTTTAGTACCACCTAGATGTTCCACGACAATGCTTTAGTTGGATATGAAATTCAGCGCTCCATAAGATTCGTATCGGAACTAATTCAACCGGGAAATTACGCGGGAATTTCAAATTTTAATTTTGGTGGGAAAATTTAAATAAAGCTTAAAATATTTAAATATAATTTAATATATTTGAAAAAAAAAATGCATTTGACATTTTTAAATTCAAATATACACAATACCATGTAGGAAAAAATAAAACAAAATGTAATTTATTTATTTATTTAACACTTGTAAAACAACTTTGTAATTTAGAATAGAATAAAAATATGCTATTACCACTGAAAATTGTACAATTTTATGGACAAAGCTTACAAAAAGTCAGAAAAATAGCAATTTAAAATTTACTGAAATTACATAAATCGTCAATATCACAAAATAAAAGATAATAAAATACACAATGTATTCTAAAATTTAAATAAATTGCTTAATAAATCCTTACGAACTAATACATTTAAGTTTCAGCATGTGATACTGAAATATATATTTATACAAATAGTTTAGTTACTTGTACATAGCACTATTCGCTAAGAAACTCTTCTACTGAATAATATAATCACCATACAAATGGACTCACCATACAAATGTAAGCTAGGATTTGCATTTTTATACAATTTATGACTCCATCAAGAAACAAACTTATCTTCAAAGTGTACTGCAGACTCATTTTGTTTTAAAAACTGTACTAGCATTCATCATATCTAAATTAGGATTATTTGTAACACTAAGCCACTTCCTAAATCGTGTAATGTCTTTATCAGGCTTTGGGAAGGCATGTCTAATTAATGACGAATTGGTACATTGTAGGATACAACATTTATTGTGAAGAACCATTTAACTAATTATTATTAATCTGCAAAATACTGTTTGAACACCACCAGGAACATTTAAAACACATATCACTGAGGTAGGGGATTTGTAATTTACAATTTAACAAAATCAAAATATAGACGCTAATATGACAATTGGCGATTGACAATTATAATTCTTAGTTGTGTTCTAAACCTAAACTGTAGAGTAAAGGCACAGTATACTGTGGTAAAGGTAAAGACAGAGTAAAGCGACATCTGAAGATTCGTATCGGTACTACAACTGACATTAAGTTTGGTTTGACCTTGAGCTACCTACGTGAAACGTCTAGTTATTAGTGGTCTGTGGTACCACCTGTTAGGTTATTTATACTTCAGAAATTGGTTTTATTTTAAAGGTAAGTGTAATTTTTACTTATTAATTATGTTTAAAAGAAAACGATTTGTTTCTAAGCGTCATCAACAGAGGAAGGTTATGAAAAACGTAGAGAATATTGTTGAAAATATTAATAACCTCGATATTCCATCTCCTTCAAACTTTTATTCGGAATCCCTGACTGATCATTTAGTTCAAATAGTTCAGGTTACAATACTTCCGATTTAAACTTTTTATTAACATGTTAAGTACCTAAAATAATGCAAATTACCACGTGGACGACCATTCAGCTGATCCTTTACAAAGCTCTTCTTTCAATGAAACTGAAGAAATGTCTAAGCATAGTTGTAATGAGAATTCTGGAGAACATTATCGAGAGGTTTTTAATTTTTCTAATAAGTTATTCAACTGGACTTTGTCCTTTAATACTAGGTGATTTATTCTTCTTCTTATGGTGCCCTATCTAATTAGTGGATGTTAACAACAATTATGGCATACTCCTCTCGATATTGTGTGGCTCTAAAAAGTGCATGTGGCATCGAGGTTTGTCCTATCCCTTATGTATAGGTGATTTATTAAAAATTCATAAAGAAGTTCCTGACCTTTCTCATTTGAGTTCAAATGCTAGAACCCTTCTTGCTTCGCTTCACCCAGAGAACAAATACTCTGATCCATATGATTCAAATTTCAATGTTATTTTTATCTTCACAAAAAAACAATGTTATAGAAATTTGTGTACATTTTGATGGAATCCCACTAAAAAAAGAGTTTTTAGAAGTCAGTCATATCCTATCTTGTTTATATATCCTAAAATTGTAGATTTAATAGGCATTTACCATGGTTATGAGAAAACAAAATTTGCAAATGAATGTTGTAACAGAGGGTGCTTTTTTTATTAGATAGTTTAAGCTAAAATAATTAAGCATGGATGATCAAGTTTGTGGGGTAGTTAGATTACTGTTACATGTTGATTTATATTTTAGGATAATGAGCTTTCCAAAATTGGCGAGGAGACCATAAATGAATTTGTTAGGAGAAGCCATAAGAAGCTGATCTGGAATAAAATTCAAGGAAAAGATAGTTGGCTAGGGAAAAAGCAATATAAAGTTTTTGAGGACACACATATAGCTCTGATTTT